GAAGCCATATTGCACTGAGCCAGTTGCGTAATACGTCAACTACATACACCGCGTATTCTTCCTGGAGGGAGGCAAATGCCGCATTCAACCTGCAGAGGAGAGCTGGCACAGTTAGAGAGGAAGACGAAGCTCTTGCCCGGTCCTCTTTACGAGCGCCTTTCATTTTTAATTAAAGTGAGCTCTTGTATATCGAACTCCTGTTGTGTCTGCGTCGTGACAATATATATATATATATATATATATATATATATATATATATATATATATATATATATATATATATATATATATATACATACATAGGGTGCCCCAGCTATCTTTAGCCAGTTTTTAGTGTTTTCCTTATAGCTGTAAATGCCCGCGCAGTGCAAGAAATACCACGTAACAAGCCCGCTCGCGCATCAGTGCACATGATGATTATAGTGCTCCCTATTGTTCCACGTAAAGCATTCGCCCGGTTGAGCTGTCTCGACAGGGACGCAACAATGGTGGTGGCTTTGCGATGAACACACTTCGCTATGGGCCACAAAAGCGATAACCACTGTGACTGCTTACCACTGTCATGAACCAGTGCGAAGAAAGCCTATTCTTCGTATGCGGAACGTTAGGGAGCACTAGAATCACAGTGCACTTAGGTGTGCCAGTGTGTTTGTCAGGTGGTATCTTTTTTTTATTTCACGGGCATTTGCAGTAAGCAGAATATATATATATATATATATATATATATATATATATATATATATATATATATATATATATATATATATATATATATCCTGTACATCACTTGGCATTCCTGTCTGTTAGATCTCATTAATATTGTGTTAAAACACGGAAAAACGAGCCCTTAGGTATGCACTTCTTTCCCTTATTTCATTAAACGAGGGTCTCGTACTGGCAGACTTGGTGTCATTAGGTTGTATACGAGGGACTATTAATCAGCTGCCCGCTCATAATAAGTTCACGTGCTACGTGACACCAAACATGCGCATAAATGAGTGTTTTCACACTCGTCGCTTGGCTTATAGATGGCGCTGACTGTCACTCCTACTTCTAAATTCACATATAAACCCCAAAAAAGTGGATCGAGGGAAGGCCGCTGTGCTAGCTCAGTGCTTAGAGCATCGAACGCGTTATTCGAAGGTCGTAGGTTCCATTCCTGCTCACGGCTGGTTATTTTTTCATCCACTTTTCTTTCTTCTTATTTACATTCCATTGGTTCTAATAACTTCCCCTGTACATTACTTGGCATTACTGTCTGTTAGATGTCATTATTATTGTGTTAAAACACGGAAAAACGAGCCCTTGGGTATGCACTTCTTTCCCATATATATATATATATATATATATATATATATATATATATATATATATATATATATATATATATATATATATATAAGGAAAGAAGCGTATACTTAAGGGCTCGTTTTTCCGTGTTTTACACAATATTACTGAGATTTAACAGACAATAATACCAAGGAAAGTATAGTATAGGGAAAGATATTAGACCGAATTGTAATGTGACAAAGAAGAAAAGTGGGTGAAAAGATAACTTGCCGTTGGCAGGATTCGAACCTGCACCCTTCGAATGACGCGTTCAATGCTCTACCACTTGAGCTACCACGACAGCCATCCACCCAGCCACTTTATTGGGTTTATATGTGAAATTAACGTGGGAGTGTCAGTCAGCGCCACCAGTAGCCTTGGCGGCGAGTGTGGCACACTCTTTCCAGCCTGTTTGCGTCACGTAGCACGTGAACTTCTTACGAGTGGGCAGCTGACCAGTAGTCCCTCGTATACAACCTAAAGGCACTAAGTCCGCCAGTACGAGACCCTCGTTAATGAATTAAGGAAAGAAGTGTATACTTAAGGGCTCGTTTTTCCGTGTTTTACACAATATTACTGAGATCTAACAGACAATAATGCTAAGGAAAGTATAGGGGAAGATATTAGACCGAATTGTAATCTGACAAAGAAGAAAAGTGGGTGAAAAGATAACTTGCCGTGGGCAGGATCTGAACCTGCAACCGAATATACAATTCGGTCTAATATATATATATATATATATATATATATATATATATCTTACGCTCGATCACGAGTTGCCGCTCCCACAGGAAAATCGCGACGACAGGATCCAATATCGTGCAATACTACGGTGTTTGCGTGACAAATCGCGTTCCGTGCGTCCCATAGAGATTTGAACTGCGCGGATCCGCGGAAGCGTGAGGCGGCATCGTGAGCTGAGCCAAAGCTGAGCACGGCTGCAGCAAGCACGGGCCCGGCAACAAACTTAATTCGCGCTGCTGGCGAAGCCACACGTAGGAGGTCTTACGGCCTTGCCTCAGCTCCTCTTCTTTTTGCGAAGGCAAGTCGTGGCGGCGGCGAGGGCCCTCGCACGTGCGGAAACACAGAAGGAACCGCGTCGCTGTTCAGTCGCACAGACTTGAAAGTCAATCCCATAGACTGCATCAGAGATGGGCTTCGTACGTAGTCGCGGTCGCGGAAGTGCTTGGAGCACAGCACACTTGCTCTCGTAGGCTTTAAGTTTTTTTCTTCTAACTGCAGTGACCCATTTTGCAGCCATCTTGTGATCCCGAGAAAACTTGTGAAAAGCGACCGCACCGCGACCGTAAGTGCTGCCGCAGTAACTTGGCATCGCGAATCCATTTCAACCTCGCTCAAACACAACTTGTGATCTAGTGTCCGAACAAGCCGGCGCAAACATATGCGCAGCGGCCCCTGCAACCCGCACACCTGCCTGTGCCTCCCCAGGAACACTACCACTTTCCTCCCTCCCACGTTCCTGGCGATGACGTCAACTACCCGCATTTCTCTCTCTGCCGTCCTCCTCACCTGCTCTGCAAGCACAGAAGAAGCTTGCTCGCTCATTCGCAGGCATGTTTTAAGAGTTCGCGATAAATTTTGAATTTTAAATAAATCGCGAATTGAAAACCGCTTTAGTGTCCCGGCCTGCAGGTCCACCAAGAACCGATATTCCTCGACCCAGTTTTCACTGCGCGGCAGAAAGCTTGCTTTTCGTAGGGTTTATTTGCAGTCATCATCATCATCATCATCATCATCATCATCATCAGCCTGACTACGTCCACTGCAGGACAAAGGCCTCTCCCATGTTCCGCCAGTTAACCCAGTCCTGTGCTTGCTGCTGCCAATTTATACCCGCAAACTTCTTAATCTCATCTGCCCACCTAACCTTCTGTCTCCCCCTAACCCGCTTCCCTTCTCTGGGAATCCAGTCAGTTACCCTTAATGACCAGCGGTTATCCTGTCTACGCGCTACATGCCCTGCCCATGTCCATTTCTTCTTCTTGATTTCAGCTATGATATCATTAACCCCCGTTTGTTCCCTAATCCACTCTGCTCTCTTCTTGTCTCTTAAGGTTACACATACCATTTTTCTTTCCATTGCTCGCTGCGTCGTCCTCAATTTAAGCTGAACCCTCTTTGTAAGTCTGCAGGTTTCTGCTCCGTAGCTAAGTACCGGCAAGATACAGCTGTTATATACCTTCCTCTTGAGGGATAGTGGCAATCTACCTGTCATAATTTGAGAGTGCTTGCCGAATGTGCTCCCATTCTTATTCTTCTAGTTACTTCAATCTCGTGGTTCGGCTCTGCGGTTATTACCTGCCCTAAGTAGACATAGTCTTTTACAACTTCAAGTGCACTATTACCTATCTCGAAGCGCTGCTCCTTGCCGAGGTTGTTGTACATTACTTTCGTTTTCTGCAGATTAATTTTAAGACCCACCTTTCTGCTCTCCTTGTCTAACTCCGTAATCATGAGTTGCAATTCATCCCCCGAGTTACTCAGCAATGCAATGCCATCGGTGAAGCGCAGGTTACTAAGGTATTCTCCATTGACTCTTATCCCTAACTGTTCCCATTCTAGGCTTCTGAAAACCTCCTGTAAGCACGCGGTAAATAGCATTGGGGAAATTGTGTCCCCCTGCCTTATTTGCAGTATATATATTTAATTCCAAAAGCTCGTAATTATTTTATAGTTGGTATTTTTTTCATCAGAAAGGCTCTAAACAGTCGTTACTAAGCTTTCCTGCCCTTTTGTCATCCCATGATGCCCTATTTCCATCGCAATCGCTGAACCGAAACAAGATAGAAAGCTCTGAAAATGTGCAATAATTAAATGTATCTAAATCTCATACTTGACGGACACTACAAATTTTTATGACGGTTGATTCATGAGTAATGACGTCCTGTGACGATTACGTGGAAGAATCAGGACCCTTTGAAGCAAAGAAAGTAAACTTAACTGCTTATTCTATTTGGGGTGACTGGGTAGACGGGTTTATTCTAAGCACGCGAGTTGCAAAAATAATGGATATAGGAAACAGTAACATAGAAGCATCAGACACTTTTTATTGAGCGGCCGCGCGTGCTTGCGCTGACATGAAGAGATCTGTACGGTGAATAACTATTTATTTATATGTTTTTTTCGCGAAGCAGTAGGGCAACAGTATGGAGTTATCGTATAAGGGCCCCAGAAGTTTGGGGTGCCAAAGCCCTTTGCGTATGCACATTTTGGGTCAAGCAGGAGCGAAGAGTTTTCGAACGCTTTGGATACTCAGCCAATTCTTGTACACGTCACTTAGCGGGTGCCATCGCGTTTATCTGACGCAAAGCTTTTGGGGCAGACTTTCGGGCTCCCGCTAAATTTGAGAAATAGTGTTCTTAACGCAAAACCCAAACAAGGCTTAGGTTTTGCTCATGCGTAGTAGCCTTGACGCTATTTCTTTGGGGCCCCAAACTTTTTGGGTCCTCTAGGCCCTACTCAAAAATCCCCTAACACGGACACAAACGTACAATTTTGTGTGTGCGTCTGTGTTATTGTTTTCTTGCGCATTTTAAAATTTTAGCTAAACAACAGCAATGTGCCTTTCTTTTGTTTTCTCCTTGGTTTTTTCTGTCCCAGACTAAATTCTCAGTTTCGGTTTCTTTTTCGTTTCCGTGTCAGTCCCATCGCGGTAAACATGAAGCCAATGCCCTCCAAGAATGGCTGATGTTTTCAATGGTATGTCGCTCTCACCTGATCCTGCATTTTCCTTTCCCTTGTTCCCAACTTTCCATCACTTATATGCAACAGTTATGTATTTAATCAGTGCGTACTACAATGGTTCGGGGTCTAAAGGTGAAGGTATATTGCTGATGAGCTGGCTTAGCACTGACTCATAAAACTGAGTCACCATGGATGTAATAATCAGCTGTCACCTCGGGACTTGTCGTATCACCAGACCGTTCTTTGTCCCTGTGCACGTATTCATTGTGAACGGACATTGTAACGTTTAATAATTCTCGCCCGGACGTGTTTATATTGTTCAAAGTGAAGTGTTTCTCCCGTCCTCGAACCAGTGTTTGTCCACTTCCGCGGAATGACGTGTTTGTTTACATTCGCTGTGTCACTGACTTTTGAAGGCGGTCGTGACAGTTCGTAGCGATGGCATTAAGTACCGTTAATTACTTTTGACCACTCTGCACTGGCACGAAATGTCCTGACGGCATCGTCATGCAAGCATGTCATTCGTTGTTCTGCATGGTTTTGATCCGGCAAGGCAACGGGGCATAGTTGATAATCAAGCGTGAAATGTAAGTTTGACAGGATATGCGACCGGGACTTCCCACCAGTTATATTTTATTGCGTAGCACATGTCATGAAGCAGTTAATGCATTATGAAGTATATTACATAGATATTTCGCGAATGTCATTGCTTGTATTGTGCATGCCGAGTGTTAGCTTGCAGCACCTCTCTTTACTGCTAGCCCTATCCACTGAAGCTGCAGAACATTGTAACAAAACTTTGTTTGCCCCGCTTTTGCAGCGTGACCCTGAAGATGAAGTTCATTCGTAAGGCAATGTCTATGCGCGTTTTTGTGCCCAAGTTATTGGGTGATGGTCGGCTTTGTCACAGGTGATATGCTGCGAAAACAGCTTGCGCGTTTCCGGAGCACGTGGGAGCTTTATTTACGACGTGAGTGGTGCAAGGAAAGCTAGCGTATGTTTTTTTGCCATTACGTTCGTATTGCATAGCAAAGGGTACGTTTCGAATGAGCAGTATGTAAAGTGCTTTGAGAGTATGTACCTGTTCTTTATTATTATTCTTTTTTTCGTTAAATTTCAGCGTCCCTAACTTATGAAGTTGGGGCTGTAGAGTATGACGACTTCAAGCCATCTGAAGAACCTGTATATATACTGGGAACAAAGTACAGCACATTTCATGGTTGGTTATTCATGTTTTCATTATTCATGGTTATTCATTATTTATCATGGGTAGCATATTATTATGCTATAACTTATCTCACTTGACTGACGTCACCGTCTTAGGTCTCAGCTGGTTGAAATGCTGCGTCAACATTTACTAGAGCACGCGGAGCAAGGAACAGTGATATCAGACTAGTGATGGTGCCCATTATGTTCCTTTCTGTTCACCTTTGACATGGCTCGCAAACTAAAGAAAGTGCGGAAATCACAAAAGACTATGGGGGCAAACTGTGTTTTTTTGTGCTCTCCCACTCACTAATAAGATAGAGTCACGATTGCAGTCATCTTAAAGCATCGAGAACTTATGTGTGACTTCAAGTGAAAACTGTGTATATTATGGTGAAAACGAAAACTTTTCATTGGAGGCACTTGAAATTGGATTGCCTAAAGCACACCAGTTAAACTACCACAGTTCCTGTTAGTTTTCAGCTAACTTGCTGTAATGAAGTTAGTGCGGCATGGTGGCATAGAGCGTCCATTAAAGGGAATCTCCATTTAAGCATGGCTTTATTAGTTATGGCTCACAAAAGTTTGTGAACTTGTGCCAATAGTCATCATTGATGATTATCAGCTGTGTTAACTGCCACGGTTGTGTGGTGGTTACGGTGTTTGCCTGCTGTCCAGAAGGTCACTACTTCAAACCTGTCAGCAGTGGTCACATTTTGATGGAGGTGAAATACTAGAAGCCTGCAGTGATGGGAGTGCTGCTACAATTGCTCCAAACGAGAATCGCTGCTTCAAGCAGTAATTTTTGTTTGTAATTGCTGGAAACCTGCTCCAAAATCACACCGAGAGAATGAGAATGATCAACTCTTACTGTTTGACCAATTCATAAGTGCTAAAGAAACTAAAAAGAAGCTGTGTTCTATCATCCATGTGTGCTAAAAGTGTGTAGCATTATTGGCTCTGATCGAACTTGTGCAACAAGAATTGGCATCTCAAGCATATAGCTCATTTGGCTGTTGTTGTTTTTTGTTTTGCTCTACTAGACATGCAGGCTAATGTGGTGAAATGTCTCAATGAGCAGCATTGCTTTTATCTCATACTGATTATCCACTGCTTATTGGGCAACAGTTGCGTGGGATTGTGGTTACTTCTAAAATGTGGCACTCAGATTTTCTGGTTTGATTTTATATTATTTATTTATTTAATAATACTGTCAACCTTCGCTTGAGGGTCATAACAGGGAGGGAGTACAATATGAGTACAAACAGGACACCTAAAGAAACCACTAAGCAATAAACACAGGAAAACAGAATGGGCAGTACTTCAACCATTACCAAAATAAGCATCAATTTCTCTGTCAAAAGTTTGCACATCGGTACTATTAATAACATGTTGGTACTATTAATAACATATCTGCCACAAAAACTAGTATTTTCAAGCATAACTCATTTCACGGATTATTTCTGACAACCTGCTATTGTTTGCTATGTGAAATGTACATTGATAGTTGTCTGTTGAATATATTTCATAAAGAAGCAGGTCACGGGATCGAATCCCGTCTGCGGCGGTTGCATTTTCGATGGAGGCAAAATGCTGTGGGTCCGTGGGCTCAGATTTGGGTGCATGGTAAAGAATCACAGGTGTAGAAATTTACGGAGCCCTCCACTACGGCGTCTCTCATAATCATATGGTGGTTTTTGTACGTTAAACTCCACATATAATCAAGTCACTTATGTTACATAAAGAATATCAATATTTACAAGACGCTTCAACAATGCTCCAAACTCCAATTAATGTATGGCAAACTTAATATCTGTTCCTAAAACACCAATAGCTGCTATGAACTAGTATTTTTTTTCTGCTCCAAAAACACTTATGGCTGCTCCAAAGCAGTACTTTTCTTGCCCCAAAGTATTCTCCGAAAAGTAAAAAGGCTTCCGTCACTGAGCCTGTGTATTGTGTATAGTAGTGGCTTGTTACAGAAATCCTGATTTATGCAGCCCTAAGCTACGACATGACTTAGCCATATCCTGATTTTAACTAGCGATTCGGCAGCTAATATTATCAAGACCTATCCTATATGCATTGGCTGAAATGGACTATCGAATTACTGGAATACTACTCCTGTATTACTACGATTTGTAAAAGTTATAAACAGGCCTGACTTCAGTTTAGTATATAAACATTTCATGTCTCATGAAGATGGACGAAAGACAAGTGTCAACTTGATGGTGAATTTTACTCAAAATAAAATGTATTCGGATATAACTCAAGTCTGGAGAGGCCCCACCTATAGACGACCGAAGCGCAGCAGTGGATCGACTGCGGCGATTAAAGAAATAGTCCCTCTCATTCCCCCTGTAATGCCGTCTGAAGTTGACACACCGTTAGTCCAGTTTATGACACCAGTCAGGATTGCATGTCCAATAATGCAGGCTTGTGCGCGTCTGCCTTAGCGGTGAACATTCCCAACTTCTAAAATTCTATCCAACAATCGGTACATATGTAGGCGAAAGGCCCCTGCACATACTGCACTGCAGATGAAAGCCATATCTTGTGTCACCTCGAATACGTGTCATGAAAATTAGTGGCAATAGTTTGTAAGATTTTTTTTTTCTTTGCTCTCCAATGAGACAGTTGTGCCACTCATGCATACCTTCTTATTTCTTTCTTAATTTGCTGTACCAGTTTTATTTTTTTATCGTTAGACAGCCCAGCTATGCATTTTTCAAAGTTGAAGTTTATTGTAACATCATTAAAACACAAGCGACTTGGTTCATAAGTATTACAGAGGGAGACCCGAAGTAAACTCTGTCAGGGGGACTTCCTAGCAATATTGTGTTGATTAAATATAGGGCAGGCAAATGGCGAGCAAAAGAAAGATCTACACGCTTGAATGCACCCTTGTCATCGTTGAAAGTGTTTTAACTCGAATGGCCTGTGCAGCTCTCAAACCACTGCGAAGCTCATGAAAGCTGCAGATTTGTTCCAGCTGTGCTTCAACTATTTTACGTAGTGAAAATTTATGCCAAATTTTTTATTACTGCATCACACATTCCACTGTATGCTTTTAGTCTGTCATGGCATTCGCAAGTGTGTAATTAAAAATTGTGCCTCTGCTTGTTCCAGAACTTGATGACCTGAGGAGTAATATAACATCAAAGATCTGGCTGACCTATCGAAAGAACTTCCCATCAATTAGTGAGAAACATTTGCTTGCTTTTTTTTTTCTTTTCATATTGCATTTTGTATAGTTTCATGCTTGAGAGTTCTCTCATTACATTTTAAGGAGGGTGTGCTTTTTTTGACTCATTGTACTTATCACTCAAGACTAGCCAAACATCAGGTAGTGATAAACGTCTTTGTTATTAGAGTTGTAAGTAACGTTCTATCGCTTGTTCTTAACTCTTCTCTTGTCAACTGCAAAATTTCAATTCTTGTGTACACTTTTTTTAGCGAGTAATGATTTCTAATTGAGTGCAGAGAAGCTTAAGATTTAAAAATTGTAGTTATGGAAGCAATATACCATTGATACTTCGTTTAACTAATTGATGGCCGTACTTGTATTACTTCGTTTGATAGAGAAGCTTGTTAAATAAAAAAAGGAACTTTTCAGACTACTTAACTTATGAAATTCTAATGTAGCGGCCCTCTAAAGCTGCTGTGACATTTTCTTTGTTACCAACACATGCCTGCATGTACATTTAAAAAGTCTGAGATGGTGGCCTGTATATGAGAGGCTCTATGTCTAGCTGATTCAGGCCATGTGAACAGGCACGTGAAACAATTAAATGTTGCTGGTACGCAAAGAAGAGGTGCACTGATTGTGTAAGCAGGTCATGCAGGAAAGTCGCGAGGAGACAATCAGTGCCATGGGTGTCATAAACCCTGAGATAACAAAAGAAACACCCCTGCTCCCTAGCACCACCTCTTACATAATGAGCGATATTATGCAGCCTGATCAAAATAGTGCTGGGTGTGTGTCTAAGGCTTGTAGCTCTTCTAGAGTGATAGTGTTGGAGCACATGCATGAAAATAAACCCGATTATATTAAATTAGGAAGGAATGACAGCTTTTTATCTCTTATCGGGAAAAGCTGCATAAATTTCGATTTGGTGGCCGAGTTAGTTTCTTTACTTTGGGTTGATGACATCACTGAATACTATCGGAACCTGCCAGCAAATAGTAATTTTCTCAATGCATTGGGAACTCTGTAAAATTGGGTCTCTTCAGATTCGGTCTTAACTGTAGTCAAGATAACTTGTAGCTCAACAGTCCTCTATAAAAAAAAATTTGATATGGTTCTGCGTAAGCTAGAAGGGACTAAACATTTTTGAACAAAGGTTGTTGCTTAGCCCACGTTACGACTAGTTGTCTTGCCTCGATTAGAAGCTAGGTTATGCTTACGGATCTGGCTCCCTGAACATTTTGTTGCACATAGCAACCGAAGAGAAAGGGCAGCATTTGTAATCCCCGCCATCGGATTAAAGAGGTCGAGCATCGTACACAAAGTTACCCGAAAATTGAGGTGCGGTTGCGAGTAAAAGTTAATACCACATATGGCATAAATGTTATTCTCATCCTAGCCTAGGCATGCTGACAGTAGTGAGAAGGCATGGTGTGCATGTATCTGACAACTCTACGTAACTTACAGAGAGAGCTCCACATTTTTAGGCTGTGCTAGGAGAATTTCTCGTTTTTGCTTATGCCCCAGTCTGTAGACTTGCATTCTCATTTGCACATTTTTTTTCGTGAGTGCCCTAACCTATGTACATACTTAAAAAGTAAAAAAGCGACAATGACATGCTGGAATCAGTGACTTGCTTATCAGGAAATATAGGGAAAAACGGAGTATAGGTCGAATTTAAAAAAGATGCGATGAAAAGTCGACCCTAGTCTTATATACCGGTCTGTGAAATGTTAAAGAAACAAGTGTAAAATCAACAATGGGCAGCTGAAGTCAAAAGCCTCCATTGCCATCGTGAGCATCAGTACCGGCACCATTGGGCAAGGCTAGGCAAGGCCTACAGTGTTCTAGCAACGCCATTTCGCTTCATTTATTTTGCTCAGTCTGCTGTTTTCTTTTTTCTATATACTTCAGAAATAAGTTTTAGTCGACAGCAGTTTACGATAGGCTTTAAGAAAAAAAAGTTATCAAGTATGCTGAAGTGCACAGCAATCTGGCTGCACAACAGGAATTCAGTGCATTGGAGAAAAGCGTCTGATACTAGAGGAGTCAGAAGCAGCGCATCACGTCCTGCTGCAAAAAAAAAAAAAAAAACAAACAAAAAAACTTCATTTCGTGGACGGGCTGCAGGGCACCCCGAACTGGAAACGCTACTCGCCGAATTCGTCTGACAGATGCATGCAAGGTCGCTATCCGTGACAGCAGAGTGCATCCGCATTAAAAGCTACTGAAATAGCGTGCGACTTTGGCCTCACGAGGGCGCGATTCAAAGGCACGCCATTGTGGGTGCACCTATTTATGAAGCCGAAGGGCTTTGCGCTTAGGTGGCGTACTTCCGTGTGCCAAAAACTGCCTGAATATTTCGATAACAGCCTGGTCGAGTACCAGTGCTTCGTCATCAGGCTTTGTCAACAGCGTTGCTACATGATGGAACACATTGGTAACGCTGGTGAAACTCCGATCTGATTCGATACGTCTTCATAGCAGACTATGACCACTAAAGGATCTAAAAAAAGGGGAGCTTTTGACAACGAGCGATGAGCATTCGCGATTTACTGTGATGCTTGCGTGCGCAGCCATTAGAAAGAAGCTGCCCCCGTTTCAGGATAAAAGAGCTATTAAAAGAAGACTTTCCGCAGGATGTTATGGTGAGAGCCGAAGAAAAAGGGTTTTTCATGCTTGAGTGGATCTGGCTTTTGTGAAATTGGCAACCCGGTGTGCTTTTTCAGCGACCGAGCATGTTGGTACTTGACACATTTCGAAACTGCCTCACAGCCGATGTGAAGGAGCTCTGTCTGATGGCACGATGGACCTTGTCGTGATCCCTGGGGGACTAACTTAAATCTTCCAGCTACTGGTTGTAGTGCTCATTAAACCCTTCAAATATCGCGTACGCGAGCTCTGCAATGAATGCATGCTGGGTGACAATACCAAGACCTCCGCTAGCCGCTTACGATGTCCACCACTCACGACCGTTATTGCTGGGTGTCATCAGCTAAGAAATCCATCCCGGAAGAGGTGCTGCGCAAGTATTTCCGCAAGTGCTGCATGAGCAGTGCATTGGATGGAATGGAGGACGGTGCACTCCGGGACGTAACTAGTAACAAACAGAAATGTCGGACTCAAGTTCGGATGAATCTGAGTGACAGCACTTTGTGGCCTTCTGGCGTTTAACTGCATAACATTAGTGTCGAAATAAAAAGAAGCAGCACGACTGTGCAGCTGGTTGCGTTGCATATTTATCAAAATAATGGTGCACCGTGATACTATGCAATTTTTAAAGATTTTTTTTTTCGGAGATTCAAAGGTGGGGGGTCTACCTATATTCTGGTCTGACCTATATTCCGGTTTTTACAGTAGCCTGTCCTAACATCATGATAATGAGGAGGAAGGTATTGTTATAAACAATCTCTGACTAGGCAGTTGCATCAGGTGTTCTCAATTCCATCTGCTAGTTACAGTGATTGCAAGATACCGCCGTCCTCACTTCACTTGTCAACGTGTGCAGTGGCATGTCATTCGCTACAGTGAGTTTCTCTAGAGCAAATGTGCCAAGTGGCACTCTACTGGTGCCAGTATTTAATAAAATTGAGGGTCTCTGTTTAGACAGCTTGTACGTAACATTGTTTATTGTATCAAATTAAGGAGAGGAGCTTTGAACTTTTTTAACTGTTGCTGAAAATACACCCGAATCGAGGGCACATAATAAACCAATTGTATATGGAAGGTAGCTGTGTCAATCACCTCTAGATTTGTATGCCTGACCGCCATGGCCACAAGTACAAATTGTAAATTTCAGTAGGATTGAGGCTTATGGCTTAGAGCTATGACTGGGTAAACATCACCGTGTAATCCTAAACACCACTAGACACATTGCAGTCTTCTGGCAAACAGTGTAAAGTTACGTAGTAGAAATAATATTGGTGTGTGCGAGTTCTTCTATTCTACAACTGTCCACTGTTGATAGTGTGATGATGTGAAGTGGGAGCTCTCGACATTGCTGGCACTTGCTCATTTGTCACATTATGCAACATCAGGTGTCCAACAAAAATCCACAACAAAAAATCCCACGTTGCAGCCCTTCCAGCGATGCACCAAAGTCCTGCCCGGCTTGAACATTACACGAAGACTCCGCGGCTAGGACAACTTTACTCTTATAAGCGGCACTATAATGACAGCGCCTGTTTGGCACCATTGAGCTACGCCACATACAAACCACTCGAACCGCGACTCAAAATGACAAACAGCCCGCCTCAACACTCGTCACAAAGATCAAAATAGCGGCCTCATGTGTGCACTTGAGCCAGGTGATGGCTTGGCTGCTAATGGCTACAATACAGTAAGCTCGACTTGCTACACAAGCTGTAGGAAAACTCTAATGGAGACAGGAAAGAGAGCAGTTTCTTGTCTCCATTCTCGCTTTCTTTCAGCTTGCGCAGCAAGCCGATTTTTCAAGTATGGCCCCACCACAGTGGTCTAGTGGTTAAGGTACTCGGCTGCTGACCCACAGGTCTTGGGACGAATTCCCAGCTGTGGTGACTACATTTTCGATGGAGGCAAAAATGCTGTAAAACTGCTCAGATTTCGGTGCAAGTTAAAGAACCCCAGTTGGTCAAAATTTCTGGATTCCTCCACTATGGCATCTCTCATAATCGTATCGTGGTTTTGGGACATTAAACCCCACGTATCAATCAATTGAGTTTTTAAGCATGAACCAACTTGTCTGCAAAGAGGTATTACAATACAGTCTAGGTGGCGCTAAATGTGCACCACTTCTTTTATTGAAAAATGGTGTTCTTTTCAAAAAGCCAATGGCGTGCTTTTAAAAAAGCTTGAATCTAAGCCAACCGTGGAGTTTGATACAAGGAAATTTGAAAAAAAAAAAAAAAACTATCAGCCTAGGTACGAATGAATGCAGTATGACAAGCAAGTTAGTGTGTTGGTTTTAACAGAGTCGCAGTGGCTTGATCCTCATGCAAAAAATGCCTGCAATGAATTTTCAGGCTCTCAGAACAGTTTTTCAACAAAGTTTCAGTTCATGACCTTACGCACTCAAAATATTCATATAACTAGGAATTTTATACTATTTCATCCTTTCTTTTTTGTGGTGTGATGTCACATATAGTGACAAAAGTAGTGATAAGTGTTACATAATAAACAGTCGGATGAAAGAAAGTGGTTTGTAAATGTAGATTCTCATTTTGAGCGGGCATCAAACAAGGTGTTATGGCTAGATATTACCTGTGTAGTCAAAGGTATCCACTTTGGATGTTCTACGTGCATGTTTTGTCTCCTTTTTAGAGGCTCTCCTCTAACCGCTTGTTGTTAAGCTTTCTTATGGAACATATCGCTAATGTTATGAAACAAGAAGCACTAGCTTATACGAACTGTTCTTAAGATTTGCCATTGCTATGCTGCAAACTAGATTCCAGTTGCTATAAAAAGTTTACTTTGTAGTTTTCTTTGCTTTTTTTCTGCCAGCTCCTTAGCTGGCATTTTCGGAAACAGCATTTCCTCCATGATTGTTGAGTCTTGTGTTTTAGTCATAGGAGAAGGAATGTGTTTATGATTCCATTCTTTGCTTCTACTTGCGAGACCAGCAGCATGAGCTCTATGTAGCTTAGTTCAAACCTTACGCAACATGTATTTCAATGTCCTAAATATTTTTGTCATCGTAATTAAAAATATATGCATCTCAATGTTCGTACTGCTGCTAGTGTTCATCTATGTTGCATTTTAATCTCTCGCTTTGCAGCCCTCAGTGCTTCCTCATTGTGGCATTGTTCTTAGCTTTAGCTTCAAATTTGGTTTCGCAGCTAGTTCAATTTATATTACGGTGTAGCATGAGCTTTATTTGCTGCCACATACTGTTCAATTACTGCAATTTTGTTGCAAAATTGTGTGATTAGGAGGTGGGCAATAAATTGTTGTGTTTTTCTCATAGGTACGATGTGGCAGTGTTCTTTGTTTTTTATTGCGGACCAAGAGTGCTGTCGTAACATACGGTGTGTCGCTATTTGCATATCCACAGGTGGCACAAACTACACTTCCGACACAGGCTGGGGATGTATGCTTCGGTGTGGCCAGATGGTAGTTGCCGAGGCTGTCATGCGACGGCACCTTGGAAAAGGTACTCTTTTTCACAGTTTCTATCCATTATTATCTAAGCATAGTGTGTCTCCTCAAAAAGGGGCCGGTCATCACATTTACCCTCTGCATCTCTCAATGCGACATAACTGGGAGCATGTCGGCAACTTAGCATTTGATGTTCTCTGATCAAGCCACTTCAGTGCATTACACTCTGTGCAGTATAGCTTCATGTTTTGCACCATTCATGTCTTGCATAAACACCCGTTTTGTTTGTTTTGCTTTCACCATGTGGCAAGTGGCATGCTCGAGGAGCAATTTCGACAGTAATGCTACACTGTGCACCTTGATCGAATGGCTTTGATTGCACTAAGCTCGATGCGTGCCCACCTGTCGTGCAAGCCATCTCAGTTGTTCAGAAAATGGGATGTTGCTGACAGAGCTAGTATCTTTCAGACGACCTTGAAGGGGGTAAATAAGGGACATTGCTGCTTGTTGGGTATTGCCTGGACAATCTCTGGGATCCTGAAGTTTAAAGCAGCTGACCTGGACTTGCTGAAAAAAAAAATTAAGAAATTCCCGGAAAAGCAATCGCAGGCAACTGATGCTTTTATGGCAAATACAAAATATGTTTTTTTCTCAGGGCATGGCACTGCTGCAACGTGTTTTGGACTTGAGTGTTTGATCAACTTTTATGAGCTGCTTGCAGTTATCCATTGCACTGCTACCTGCTCCATAAAGTTGCTTAGGTGTTTTGTGATAATGATGGCCTATGCAAGACTTTCTGCTGATTGAATGCATAGTGGTCATGGGAATATGTGCCACTGTACCGTGTCTTGCACGATTGTTCAGGCATAATGCGTGCATTGCAATGTCATATAACGATGAACATTACCATATGGAACAAATGTTGTTGATTTCAGGTTGTTGTCTTGTATTGTTGGGGTTACAAACTGAAGCTTTTTTGTTCTTGTCGTGGGAAGTATGCAGGGGTAGAAGTGCTGCGCCGATTTCACCATTCTGCCCCAATCAGACCTGCTGCGCATAAACGGCAATATCCACAATAACGGTCGAGTGAAAGAGCAAAAACTCCGGAATCTAGCCAATTATTTTTCGTCGACCGAGCAACACTAAGAGTTGGCTACACAAAGGACACGGCTGCATCCATGTCCAGTGTAGTTCGATCACATGTTCAGTCATGATCACTTTGTAGCTTGGTTTATTCACGGAGCTTGCTAGTGCTCCTCTCATTGCTTTTTTTCGTCGTGGTTTCCCCGCAAAAGTGGTGATACCAACATGAGTAACAGCCGATTGTCTGGTAATGCAGTGAAACCTCGATAATTTGTACCAGCTGGCAGCGGGGCATGATGGTGTGCTCAACAGCAGCGCACATTTACAAGTACAAGGGTGCATCTCCTGACCTGCACCATCGCCAGCAGTAAACAAACACTGTACCACAGCAGATGTTGCCCAGAGTACCCACCAGAGAGTTTTTTTTGCCGAAGTGCTGAAGATACACAGGGCTGGCACTCTCGCACAATCGTGCGACAGCTTGCAGTGCAATGCCAAGGAGCATTTCGAAACTATCACAAGGTCCGGGATACGCAGCGGCTGAAATAGCGACAGAACAGACACTATTGGCTTTCCATGATACATATGTGCACATCTCCACGGCGATGTGATACTAAGCAACACCTGACAGTTCCATTGAAACAAGGAGCGGTTGCGAGGACTTGATCATCTTTTTCCCAGTTGCGTGCAGGGCAGCACAGGGGCGTAGCCAGGGGGTGGCAAACCGGGCACGTGCCCCCACCCCCTGAAATATTTTTTGCTGTGGCATGGAGAGCGAAAAAAGATTATTTTAAGAGTGCGGCCCTTTCGAAATAAAGGTGGCGCCCCCCTCCCCAGAGAAAAAATTGCTTGCTATGCGCCTGCCGCACCACCTATGCTGCCCACACTGTCATTGCCGGACAGCTAGTTGTACCGTGCATGCGAATCTGCCCTGCGAATTGTTCGCCCCACTTTACTACACACCGAGCACAGATGAGCAGAGTAGGTTGTTTAATTAATTTGGGAATAACAATCTACAGCGACTCCAGGCCGGCCATCAAAGCCTTCGAACGCGGAATCTCCGACCAGGCGTTACGTATCCTGCGCAATGCGGACCCGAGTGCCCTGAAGCACCACACTGTCATCTGGTTCCCCGCCCATCTCGGCCAGGTGACAGGTGCCCTATCCAACCTCAACGAGATCGCCCATGACGCAGCGCGCGCACTTACCGACCGCACCGCCACAGGGCAACCCCATCTTGCTGAGTTAGATACCAATCGGGATGCACCCATTACGTACAATGACATAACAAAGCACTTTTACCTGGAACGCCGCATTTTTCCACCCCCACATTCGAAACTTAACAGACCGCAGGCATTAACCCTACGCCTATTACAGACACACACGTACCCAAACCTTGCCACGCTTCACGTTTATTATCCTCATGCATATCCTAGCGACACATGCCCATCATGTGGACACACAGCGACACTCGCACACATGCTCTGGGAGTGTAGAATAACTCCTCCCGACTCTACCTCAAGCAAGTGGGAGAGGTCCCTCAGGAGCTCACTTCTCGCCGACCAGCAAGCCCACGAAGCGGCCGCCAGGTACTCGCTGTCGGTCCCTACGTGGGAGACGCCCGCTACGCGCTAAGCGCGTCCTGCAGGACTGAAATAAAGTTTTTTCATTCCTTTCATAACAAACTTCCACCAAGTGAAGTGCACCGCAATTATTTAGCGATCATGAAAACAAAAGATGAGCATCGCTTATTCTTTGTTTTCTCCGAGTTATTTTTCTTCCAGAAGTCATGTTTAACGATGGAAATACGGACACACACACATTTGTAGGTAGTAAGTCTGGTCAGCTAATTAGTACTGAATGTTTGAAGGAAATCATTGCAATTTTTTTCCCAGAAATTATTTAGGTCAGCAATGATGCTTGACTCTAGGAAGTTGCTCCAAAACTAACTTGCATTACCCTAAAACAAATATTTTGACGCTTCGAACCTGCTCCAATACTCCCATTTCACTATGCCGAAGCTGCTACTACTAAACAGAATTACCGTAATTACTCAAATTTAACGCGCACCTTTTTTCCGGTTAAGCGAGTTCTCAGATCGCATGCGCGTTAGAATCGAGTACGAAAAAAAAAAAAAATACGGTCATTCTATTGCCATCGGCATTTCCAAAATGGCCGCCCCCTACGTGCGTCGGCATGGCGCGTCGGCCATTTCTGCCTATGTGTGTCCCATGTGCAGCACTTCGTACGTGTGCTGAGGAGTTTGTCATATTGTAGTGCATTAGCACTGACGGCATAGAAGGGCCGACTCCAAAAACTCGAGTGCACCACGATGCCGCTTTTTAAAAAAAAAGTCATCGTGTGTGCAGAAACGGACAGAAATTGGGCTGCATCGTGGTCGTTTGGAGTTCCCGAAACGTGCGTGCAGGACTGGCGGAAACAAAAGCAGAAGATTGTCAACAGCAAAGCTTCACGCAAAGGCTTCAGTGGACCACAGCGGGGTCGGTTTCCGCAAATTGAAGAACTGCTCGGCGAGTATGTGCTTGAGCAGTGAGCGGCCCGTGACGACAGAACTGCTCCAAGTGCGGGCTATGTGATTAGCCTTAGAAAAAGGTCTAACGTGGAGCCAGTTCAAAGCGAGCAGGTGCTGGCTAAATAACTTTACGAAGAGGAAAGGCTTTTCCCTCCGAAGGTGAACGGGCATATGCGAAAAGTTTTGCGGAGGAGTACGATGAAAAGCTTCACAGTTTTCAGAGGTTCGTCCTGAACTTGCGGCACAACAACGGCTCCCTGCTTGGGTAAATCGGGAATGCGGATCAGACGCCTCTTTACTTTGACATGCCTGGCACCACAACCGTCGAGAAGAAGGGGGCGAAGGAAGTTCGCGTGCTGACATCGGTCCACGGTAAAACTACAGTGACGGCAATGCTCTGTTACACGTCAGATGGGCACAAGCTTCCCCTGTACCTCATATTTAAATTGAAGACACTCTCGAAAGGAGTTGTTTTTTCGAGTGGTGTGATCACGCGGGCCCGGGAGAAGAATGGGTGCGCGTTGCAATTGATGTCTTACTTTTTTTTTTTTTCGTCGTGGAAATCGGGTGCGCGTTACAATCGAGGGCGCGGTAGAATCGAGTAAATACGGTATTCCTGCTTTCTGAGCTGCTTCAGTACACTGAAGTACACTTTCACCCCTGAGTGTGTTTCCATGCGGCACTTACATCGAGCTGAGTGAGGAGCAAGTTGCTTGTTTCAGGGAATATAACATACGGAGTTTTACCGCTTTTGAAAACTACCGAGCTTTTGTCAATTTGTGTCGGCAGAATAATTGCGATAACTATGATTCTAATGTTAATGCATCGGGCCTTGCATTTTTTGGCAGTGTAAAGAGGCAATTGCCAAATGTGTCCCCTTGTTTAAAAAGAAAATTTTAATGCAGCTGTGCCTGGATCGAAAAAGTTCACCTCCACCACCACATAAAAAAAAAGTTCAGCATATTAAAGGCAGAGTAAAGAGAAAAACTTTTTTTTCCGTATCAGTAAAGTGCAATTTTGCAATCCCAAATACACCATTGTTCCAAGAGATAACGCTTGGTAAGTGAGAAAACGTGCAAAAAGAAAGTGTGAATGGAGACGCCACATCGAAATTCCCCCACCAAACACCGCGACGTCATGCATTTTGACCGTGTTTACTAGGTCCTAACAAACAGTTTATAAGTGGTGAAATGGAAGCACCTTGCCATCTGTGGATGCTATAGACCTAGCATACGACGTTTCAAAAAATTTATTCGAGCTAATGCCACGAAAATACGAAAAAATACATATTGAAATTAGTGATGCAGTATGCAAAGATTTCGTCGAAAAATTTAAAAATGGAATTTCAATGTTGATTGTCTCCACTGATAATGAACTTACGATAGTGAAACATGTGGAAATAAAGTTTTCAGAGTGCAGTTTATCAAACTGAACCAAGTCATCGTTGCTCTTTCGTGCCACTTTAATTCACTGGCTCACGTATGCATTTCATTTTCAACTGGACTGCGATATTTTTGCCATTGTGCAGTAGTCACTAAAATTGCAGGTGTTCTAGTGAGTGTTTGTGTGATGTTAAGCATATCATCCTTTCTGTTTTGTCTGGCATAAGTTTGTTTTCGGGTATTAATGTATAATGTTCTAATGACCAGTGCATCTGTATTGCAGACTGGCAGTGGTCACAAAGAACAAAAGACGAGAAATACCTGCGCATCCTTCGCATGTTTCAGGACAAGAAGAACTGCACCTACTCAATACACCAGATTGGTGAGTGCAGTGGTTGGTGTGAAGACATCAGTAGTGCTGTACTTCTGAGACTGATACATGGGTCTATTTTGCTAGACTTTTCCTCCTCCAGTCATGGAATACATTCGTAGACACTCTACACTTGTACATGCAGCTTTTGTTTCAGTTGTCAGTTAACATTAGAGTACATATCTTTTCATTCTGTTGGACCCCTTTACTCTGTAACTGAAGAAAACATGGTAATGATGAAGCCACGGTTTATGCCAGAGGCTAACGACTGCATCTTCAAAGGCAATCCTTTGGTGGCTAAACTTGCTACATAATACAGAGGACTCCTGCACATGTGCAGGGATGCTACCACATTAGTTTTCAGCCTTCACTTAAGCATACCGTTCTTACTCGCGTAGTGAACCCACTCGCATAATGAACCCACCCCCCATCTTGGTCATTAGAAAAAAATTTACTTTTTAATGTATCTGTTCATTTTATTTTAGTGAGAGAGCCAGTGCTATTGTCGGTCGAAAGAACGTTAAATCACGCCGTTGTACATTCGACTCTCGTTAATACGAATTTAACAGGAACCACAAAAGAACTTTGAAATAAATTAACTTACAGTTAAGCAAAATGAACAATGAACAGCACTTTCATTGCTTCAAACCTGACAGTTCTTTAAGGGGGGATGCTACACCTTCCAAAAACTCTTTTATTTTTGCGAGTACCTCAGTCAAATTTGGAGAGCCTATGTAGATTTTACTGCTGATTTCAAAAATCTAATTCTTTTTTTGCTGTGACAATTAGTTTTAAAGATATAATGAACTGCGACTTTATCAATTAAGGCCTAATTAGCTAATTAACTGTAACTTGGATATTGATGTGCAACCTATAGAACCAATTCGGTATGTTCACAGTGTGCAATAAAGTATAAATAATTGTTCTGGGCTATTTCGAAGCAAAGTTGTGGGATGTTGAATATGACATGAAAAATTTCCCCATCTACACTTGAAACAAAAGATCCATTTAGAGAATTTTCTCCAAAAATTATTACAATAAAACTTACTTTACGACACATCCCCCGCATTTATCTTCGAAACAAAAAAGAAATCGTAATGATAACCCAGATAGAACAAGAGATATTGCTCCGGCATAATGGGAAGCACATGAAAATTGTCGTTTTGAGAAATCGAGAAAAAACGTGGGAACACATTTTTATTGCAGAAGATGCAACAAGACAACCTCAAAACGCACCAGAAGCATAGTCTGAATGCATTCTGTGCTCATGCCTCCTCTTCACTAGCTTCCGGAGTTCCAATGAGGCTGTTCTTTTCTTGTTGGAGACAATGCTGCGACGGTGGTCTTTTTCTCTCGCTCTCCTGGCACCAGTACTTGTCGCATTCATGTCCATTTCACCTAAGATTGCCGTTGCAGAATTCAAATTGCCCGTGTTGAAGCGCAGCACTGCTTCTGCAACAGCTGCTTCAACAGCGAACAGGGACGCATGGTGCTCCTTGGGGGCCAAACTCCAGATTACCGAATGTAGGCTCTCGTTGGAGTTCTGCGTTTTGCCGCGTTCGCACCTCTGAAGCAGGGCTCTTTCCGAAAGCCGGGTATAAACCGGTAGTAATGCCTCTGCCACGTCTTTCGGTAGATTGTAGGCATGCCTGGGGTCGGGCTCACCCTTTGCTTTTGCGGCATTGTGCCGACACCATGAAGTTTCACCAGCTGGGCACAGACTGTGGTCCGAGCATTCATCAGTGGAGGTGACGTGGCGGTATGTGGCCATCACAGCCTTTTGCATCTCGCCCACGTCACCTTCATGCGATTTCAGAGCCCGGCCATAATATGTGCTCAGCCTGGTGATCAGCTCACCTGTGAGCCTGCCTTTCCCACCAAGGCCTCTTTTCCCATGGCACTTTTGTTTCTGCACCAGGTTTCTCAATGCGGTGCCCATCCGTTTCTGTACATGATTAATACAGTCTTCCTTCTGCACGTCAATGTAACCATACACCTTGGCGTCTTGTATGGCGCAAAATGTCCTAGAGTCTCCATCAGACAGCATAGTTGTGTAGCGCAGGCCATGGCGTTCAAGCGACCTCTGAAATAGAATTAGAGCCGCCTCCACTTCCATTTGCCCCGCTTTGCTGTTCGTATTTTTTTGGCATTTGTGGTTAGCCTTCCATTCTTGATAGCCCTCACTACTAGGCTTTGGGCCCACCTCGCAGCCTAGGCAAAAGTTGGAAAGAACGACGTAGTCCAACACGTAGCCACTAAATAATTCGATAACTGTGCCCACGCCGATGTGGGAAGAATGGCCTCGCGTCTTCCACGTGCCGTCGTAGCTAACGGCAATATTGCCCTGGTGGCCGAAGCACAAGTCATCATAAATTGTTCTAACCTTTTCCGCACATTCGCTCATAGCGGACTCAGCCGCTCGCGTTGCAGCGGGTGCCAGCGTGTTCTTCAAATGCCGCTGAAACGTCTTGTGGTGCATACCGCGGTGTGAGATGCCCATTGTTGCGAAAATATCGTTCATTTTCGTTTGGCCGTTGCCGGTAGCCACCATCGCCCTCGAAGCGAGAAGATTTACTTCAAACGAATTGCACGTTTTCGTGCCGTTCGCGCGGGGCGAAGTCTATTCATTCGCGATCTCGCCGCACCTTTCACACTGCACTAGCACTTTCATGGCAAGTCCGTAGTCCCGATCCCCTCTGACGATCGTAGCCGGTCCGTGGCAGGCTTTGCAACACAAGGCACCCATTATCGCGTTTAGGATATCTAGATGCATAAGCAGATAAGGAGCAGCGTGGTCCGAGTCCTGTGCGGTTGCCTCGCTACAACTCGCGGTGAAAAAGTCAATTTTCCGTGCAGTTGCTGGCGCCGATGAAAGCCGGTCGAGCGTCGCTTTCTCCTGGGCATGATTTTCTTCAACTTCGGCGTTTGTCACCACCTTGGCGTCGATTCGTAGTCGTCCGGAGTTCGCTTCACCGTCATCGTCGTCGGAGGCAACGCGCTCGGTTGCACCATCGCTGAACGGCCGCGGAGCGTCGACACATCGTTCGTCGGAGTCAACCAAGGGCTCTGATGACTTCGTAGACTTTCTCCCACGACCTTTGCGTTTCCTGCGACCAAATGCGTGCACGGTCCGATACTTTTTTGCGTTTCCAGGCATGGCGATACGATCAGAAGCTTCAGAGTGCTCTGCCGATTTCGAGGCGTCACAGTGGTAACCCTTTCAAAATGGCGTCGGGTCGCGTATGCAGGCGCAAGCCGCGAGCTTCCAGCCAACCGGAAAGCGCCATTTCAGTCACGTGCGCCGTTTAGCCAATGGCAGTGAGCGCGGCTCTTCGTCTTTGAGGCCCCGTTTTTCGAGCCGGGGAAACGCTCAATGTTGCTTATTGAATAAAAAAAACCAGCTGAAAACGCGTTCTTTCAAACAAGACCAAAATGGCGCCGATTGAGCGCGTAGTTCCCGCGTATCGTAGAGCCGAAACCTGCGCTATTCGCCCTCAATTTAAAGGGCAGGACGCCCGTTTTCGGTTTTTTAAAGTTGAATAACGATAAAAGTTGATGGTATTCGGCTATGAAATTTTGTAAATAGGTGCGCAATGATGTCGGGAACGCGAAAAGAAGGTCCGCGAAAACTCGATTTTTTGGCTGATTTTCGGTCCCGAAGTGCCGCGTCCCCCCTTAAGAAAATAGTCTGTCATTTTCTCTTGCCGAACCTGGCTGCGGCTAGCAAGTTTTCTAAGCACTACACATGTCGAAGCGTTTCTTCAGCATTGCATTCAACAAGATATAAAAACTGCAGTGCAAGAGCGAGATGAGCAGCAACATCAGTAGTCTTCGGTGGGGGTTTGTTTCTATGTCATCGTTCACTAGCCGAACCATCTGCACAATTTTGCTGTTCGAAAGTGGATCGAGTGTATCTATATTGCTGTCCAGGGCAATGAATTTTTCAAAACGGGCGTCACTAACAGCTGCCCAAACCTACCATCGTCGAGTTTACCTGTATACACTAGATGAAATTCGAGGGCAAGTTAGGCTTAACGTCGTACTTTCGTGTGATGTCTTGCTTGGCGGTGCATCCCTGGTCAACTTCTTTCGAGATTTTTGACTTTTGCCTCCAGGTCAAGCGTTTGATAGGGTCACAAGATGCCATTATCGAATGTTGCCATTACAACATTCAATATCAGCTGTGGCAACACGTGTGGAATCAACCAACAGCATGTTGGCGGGCTAGGTGGTGCATCACGCTCTGTTTGAACAGTGCAACTGCACGCATACAAAGCTGAACACACAAACACACAAACAGCGCTGTGTGTGTGTTTGAGCGTCCCACAGCCGTCTCGGCGTTCTTGGCACATGAAAAAATCCCCATAATATTGAAAAATTACGGCGGCCTCGAGGCCCTCGACTGAAATGTAACATCTAATTAACCAACATTACGGGCTTTTACCTTCAGACCGTCGAGAATTTTTTTTATAGGCATGCATGCAAAATTGATGGGACCACTTGTTGACTTCTAATTTACCGAAAATGCCAATTAAGTGACTTTGATGACATTGAAAAAACGGGAGTTGATTATATCACAAAGTTACGACGCAATAAAAGTCAAAACATGCGAGCAGCTTGAGTGTGGACGACGATAAAAATTAAAAAGTGGTACGCTTTGTGGCAAAGTGCTATCTGTTGAACACAGAAGAAACCTATTTGCTTTCAACGCCACGCAAGCACAGCGACACGAAAGCAAAGCGCAACTGCACCCACCGCACCGACATTGCGACGTGCTGCCGCGACGAACATGCACTGCCATTCGATGCTGTGTTTTTGTTGACGGATTTGTCATAGTGAAAGCTGACACCTGCTGCACAGGGCACGATTGGCCAGTAGGCTAGCTACACTTCTGCGTTAATACGTGCGCATTCGTTACGGGAGAAAAGAAAAGCTTCAGGCCACAAAAAAAGTTTGTTGCACATTTCACAGGCTGAAACAAGGACAGCTTCTCCTCGTTGAGAGCGAAGTTCCCGAATAGAGGCTCCATAGCCCTGCCACTAAATTGAAGGCCAGCAGCGATTGAGCAGCGAGTTTATGGATACAGTCATGCGAAATTTTTCTTGTTATGACTTCAGTGACTTTTTTCTCTTGTGTAATGAACGCTCCCCACCAAATGGTGTCAACTTTTATTAATGTTGTGTCTAACAAATGCAACAAGCCCTTAAGATGTGTACACTTCTCTCCTCTAGTTAAAGTAAAGGATTTATGAATATGAAGATAGATGCTAGAGTGTTGTTACAAAAACTAATGTGTGGCTCGTTTCTAGGACTGTCTGATGTGGTGTGTGTCTCTGTACGAGTAACTCATGTGTGATGTTTGTAATAGCATGGAAGTCATGAGAAGTAATTTTAGACTGTTACAATAATAAATCACAGACACCTAAGCTATGCCTAGTCAATGAAATTGCTTTAACAGAGGCATGATAATTGAGACAGCTTGAACGATTTGAATTTTTATTAACGTCATAATGTCAGTTGCTGATACATTGATTACAGGGAATTTTCGGTAAATGGAAATCTCTAAAACAAAACTGCTGCCTAAATGAAACCAATGCTTCTAATATGAGGGGTTTTATACTCAGTCTGCATCCTTATTCATCTCAGTAAACTGAACTCGTGTAAATGGAACATTTTTTTCTTGTTCCTTCAGGTTCTTTTTCAACTCTAGTGTATCTGTATTAACAAGGCTGGGGTGGGCAAGGGAGATTTAGCCTGGGCAAAATGCCAATTCACCTGCCCAAGAAATAATGATGATGATGAGATGAGGTCGCGGGTTCGAATCCCGGCTGCGGCGGCTGCATTTCCGATGGAGGCGGAAATGAAGGAGGCCCGTGTGCTCAGATTTGGGTGCACGTTAAAGAACCCCAGGTGGTCTAAATTTCCGGAGCCCTCCACTACGGCGTCTCTCATAATCATATGGTGGTTTTGGGACGTTAAACCCCACAAATCAATCAATAAAATTTTTGTGGCATTGAATTCGTGAGGCAATAAGCTCTTCCAGTGAATTAATTTCATGGTTACTTGAAAAAGTGTTTCAGGGCTCCTTTAAATCATCGTTCAACGTGGGAGCAAATGCTACACAATTTTTTTTTGTTTCATTCAGTGACTAATTGGAAATTTTTTTTCTGTTCTTTGCATACACATTCCAGCGCAGATGGGTGTTTCAGAAGGAAAAGAAGTAGGCCAATGGTTCGGCCCCAACACCATTGCTCACGTACTCAGGTAAGCTTTGCAGTCTATCTTGCTTAGTAGTATGCTCAAACCTTGATATATCAAATCCGAATGTAATGAAATATCGATTATAACGAAGTAAATGAAGAATAGTCTTGCAATAGACAGAGTTTTAGTAAAGTGCATTAACGAATTTTTGGTTATAACAAATTTATTTTCGTGTGTTCAACTTCGTTGTAATAAGGTTTAAGTGTAGTTTGCAGACTAAACTGTGTTATGCATGGCAGATGGATGGCAATTTCTGAAGTGTCTTTCTGTTTCTTTAAAGGAAGCTGTCTACATTCGACAAGTGGAGCTCCCTTGCCATGCATGTCGCCATGGACAACGTTGTAGTCATGGATGATATAAGTGAGACATATATTTTGTGGATTTTCAGGCACTGCATTGGCAGTTAGGGCTCATACATTTGAACTTCATTATAACATCTATTTAGCAAAATCTGCAATATAAAAAGCTTCATTCTTGTTCTGATCTTGGGGGCGCTGAACACCTTCTGCAGCCAACTGTTATTCATTCGCAAGTAGATATTTTGGCCTAGAACACATTTTAACTTGTTCTCAGGGCAGTGAAATTATAACGGCCTTGGTACAGTCGAACCCACTTATAACGATCCCAGATATAACGATATATACCCAATAGATACACAACAACTACTGTATGAAATGAACATCCGGCCTATAATCGAGTATGCTTGCTCAGCTTGGGAGCTGTTGTTAAAACAAGACATCAAGGCTCTAGAAAAGGTACAAAATTTAGCTGTTAGGTTTGTTCTCAATAATTATAAATGGCAATTTAACATACCCCTTGCAGAAGAGAGTTTAAAGTGGGAAAGTGGAAATGTGGAGGAAAAAGTGAAAATTAAAATGTTATATGGCATATTTCATTCCAAAACAGGTATAGATAGAGATAAGTACATATTTCGACCGCATAACATCTCACCGCAACTTGACCATTCTAACAAAGTTAGAGAATACAAGTGCAGAACTCAGTCGTTTAGGAACACGTTTTTTTCTGCACAATTTTACAATGTATTGTGTAACCCCCCTTTGTTATGCTTTTTGGTGCTGAGGGTACACTGATAAATAAAAATATCGATTATAACGACCATATTTTGGTGCTCTCAATATTTTCCTACGCAGTCCTTCGAAACTGAGTCCACATACAGCGAACATTTTCAAAACCTTTTACTTTTACAACAAACACTTCGGACACAGTCGTGGTAAAAATATGGCGCACACGAAGTGGGAAAAAGAATGTTTAAAAAGGCATTCTAAAGCAGGTGATTGGTGCTTGCTTGCACATACCCCGCTGCAGTATACTTGCAACAAAGATATCGTAGACAGCGGTGAGCACCACACGTAGATTTCAGACATTCTGAGCGATTAGTGATAACGACTTCCGCACGGTTGAAGTTGATAGGCGTCAAAAAAGAGCGATGGCGAGGTGACCGGTTACAATGAACGTGCACTGTTGACACATAGCCGGTAACCTTATCACAGTCATTTGCGGATATCTGCGCCGCGGAGTGACGAGTGTACGCCGCGTCACATTGTGCGAGGCCTCTTGCACATTTTGCTTGCAAAATTAGTCTTCATTGTGTTAAATGAACAGGCTACTCGCCGCACCCTAGCGCGATACTGCGTGAAGCATGCACGAAGAACGCACAAACGCCTATATTGGATTGCAAACAACCCGGCATTGGACGACGAAAGCCAAGTAGCGATGCGCTGCACGCAACTAGCCAGGGATCATTGCTTCGAAGTGGCGGTACTGCGCATCAGTGGTATGGCGTGAGCTCTATGTGAACGTAGTTCAGTTCACTTGGGAACATACAACAGGCGTTGTTTAGCACGTGTAAAGGCCTAAATGTAGTGGATAGTTTGTGGGCACTTAATGAAAATACGCGGGAAAAAACCGCTTTAGCCGCTAAGTGGACGTTTTTATGGGCGAGTCCATATGGAGCAAACTATCGATAGAACGGTCACTTATCTCGACATGTTCGAGTTCATTATAAACGGGTTTGTCTGTGCTATAGAATCTTGTGACACAAATCTTCATATAAGTCTAACCAGCGCCTTACAAAGAGAAAAACTTTAATATAAAGAAATGAAAAATGATGTACGCCTCAGTTTAGCATTTTAAAAAGTAATTAAGAAAAATGTGGCTGATCCCTTTTTCTAGGAATTGGTGTAACACGAAAGTGAAATGTGTCTTCACCAATGCACCTGAATGTTTATTGTGCATTGTTTTGCCACAAGGTCGAAAGAATTAATGCAACAGCAACTAATTGCGAAGTAACGCAAAGAACATCAAGTAGCTCGAAACATGAAGCGCGCACGTCAAGCAGAAAACACGGATGAAATGAGTATACATAGGACGCGCGTGGACTGTCACAGCTTGATGCTCAAAACACGCTGTTCAAACAGAAAGGCACAAGAAATGAACATACAAGTATACACAGGACAAGCGCCAACAACAGTACTTCTTCGTGTGTGCGCAGCAAAAAAATGTAATTTTCATGAGAAGACATAGTAACATCATTGTTTTCAGAACCTTTCTCTATTCAAGATGCAATAAATTCATTGCCCATTTACGAAAGCTTGCAGAAAATCTGAGTAAAACCTTACAGCGTTGAAGTTGGCAAATAATAATCACTGGTTTGTCTCAAGGTTAGTGCACTCCCACGGTGGAAGCAAAAGACTATACACATGTGTGTGAGTCTTGTCAGTGCTGTTGTGTGATCTCTTATAATGGATCAACAGATAAAGCTTTGGGGTTTCAAAGTCCTCCTTTATTTAGTGGTACTTAAAGGTGGCAATGTGCTAAGAAGGTTGAACACTTTCTAGCCATTATGTTAAGCTCACCATCTGTGACTAAACTTGTTCCAGCTGTGCTATGGGGTGCACTAGCTTACATGACCCCTAATATGGAAGAGTTGAACACATGTCCTACTTGGTTTTTGCATGTGTGTCTACTCCTGCACTCGGGGCATGTCATGGAATTACTAGACGACACATTTTGAGGCATTACAAAAGCACATTTAAGGTGTCAAAAAGAAGCAGGCAAAATATCTTTTAGGCCTACAATGCTGTGAATGACGGTGCAATAAATTTTTCATTAAATGCAAATAATTTAAAAAAAAAAAAAAGATGAGCACACTTGTATCTACACCAGGTAGGCAAAAGAAATTTTTTTTTATGATGGCACAAAAGTGCCGACAGTCAAGAATAACTTGGGCGCTGGAGCTTAGTGTTCTCAATCACTTCGCAGTGGACAAACAAGCAATGCCTCATGCAAAGGAACATCTGTAAGCCTGTAAATTTGTCCTTTCAAACTATCCTATACCGCATACCACAAGTGGAATTGTGAAGTGCCCATTATAACATTGGCGATGTGTCCAGTGTGTGTCCCTTAGGCAATGCGTGTACGTGTCCAGCTGCGAAAGTTGGTGATGCTGCAGGATGTAATGATTATCAATCATGACTGTGGACTTTGTGTTTGGTGGACTTTTAAACAAGCCACCTGTTGTGTAACTCGCTTGTTTCCACTCTGCAGCATTTTCCGAGATGATACACACTTCTGCCACACACTTTTACATGTAGTAATTATGCACCTTTCGCTACATACTAACACTTATAGGGTGTTCTTTTTGACCTAATTCTTAGCACTGGTGCAGCTTGCCATTCAGAAATCCTGCATTCGAATAATAGTGGAATCAAGCATCGTTATTTTGTTTTGTTTGCATCTATCTCGAATTTTAATGCGCTCGCAGACAATACTGCTTTTTCCCTCATAACCGACAATGCCGACACTGACTTCAGAATTATGGCAAAAGGAGCACTTTAACACTGTAAAATTAACATAGCCATGCAGTTGTTTTTTTTCCTCGCAGTTTCTCGAGTACTGTCTCTCCATTTATTCTGTAGCATGGTGAGAAAAACGTACTGTCGAAACAACACACTCTTTGGTCTCTTTTCGGTGTGGCTGAGAATGGCAGCACAGGAGCAGATAGCCAGAATTGAAATGCAAATTGGGAGGGATGCCTCAAATTGTTCAGGTCTAATTGCGTAGAATCAATATCTCTCTCCTGTCGGCTAATACCTTGACAAATAAATTACGATCCAAGCGAAAACTGCGTGCACGGCACACAATTATTTATTTTGCTCTTCACTATCCTTTCTCTTGATAGCCCTCCACTATTTCACATCTGCCAACTGCTCGCGCCATGTCAGTGCTGCGACGTATGGTGGCCGGCATGTTCCCTTTCACCGCCGCTAGCGGTTGTTTTTTGGATGTCCTTGAACTGGAATACTTACTAGATTGAACTCAATTGAGTTCAGAATAGTCACTGTTGCACAGTGACGTAAAAAACGGTGTCAAACTGCACTCGAAAGCGAAATTTCAGGGAAAATAGTGTTTATAAAGGTGCTGATTTTGAAAATGGGCATTTATAGGCACTCACGTGCATTTAGGTTTAAATGTCAAAAGTAGACATTTAAAGGCACTCTAAAGACACTCTTAATTAGACCTTAAATCATGTTGATATGTCAAAATCGGGCGGTAGGAATACAAGGATCAAAATAGACATTTGTCTAAAACCTGGTTTCTAATGAATACCACCATAAAGTACATAGGCTGTTCATTCTCTTCAGGCTTGAGCTTTGTTCAGTACAGTGTCCCAGTGCTGACGAAGGGAATATGGCTGAAATGGTTTTACGATTGCTGTCTCAATAAGAATGAATTAATTATATTTTCATATAAATACAGATTAGAGGAGTGTTTCGTGTGTTCAGTGCGCTTTGCATGGCTGAAATTGTGTGTGCATATTTATAGCTTATGTCGTTAGCCATCTGTAGTTGTTTGCTCACTTTTTCTTTCCAGGGAAAATATGCCGAGTAGAGGCAACAAACACAGAGGATGGTATTAGAAATCGGATGCAGCCACATGGTGGACTTGCAGCAGCACGTTCTTGGAAGCCTCTTGTGCTCTTCATCCCTCTAAGGCTTGGCCTAAGTGAAATCAACCCAGTTTATTATTGCGGCCTCAAGGTGAGAGTGAATGTGCTAATTGCACTCGGGAGGCTCGTGTCGTATTGTTTGCCGATGTCATGGCACTGGAGCATTCATTACAACACGCTCCTACGGTACCTGGTTTTCATGAATTGGATTATGCCCTTGCCCATTGGTTGAAGCACTGATGTATTCGGCAGCCAAAAAGCAACTTCAATGCTGTTCAGTCTGGTGACACTCTTGTGTACACTGCAGTTGTCCAGCACTATTAACACTTTGGGGTTCTTCGCACAAAACTGTCAATGCAACTTTTGAATCTAGGTTGCAAAAATTTCACCTGTAATCCACACTTTTCAGTTGGCACGGTAACGGGGAGATTGTTGATGTTCTTAATGCAGCGTAGCTTTCGAGCATTCCCGATAACGAGAAGTGCAAGCACTCTGTCTCAGTCATGTTGGCGGCTAAAAGTACAATCACTCGTTCCGCACTTCTTTTGCTGCCGATACAAGGATCCCCTCTTAATGTCACTGTTTTGTCTGGTAATGCTTTGAAAAACAGTGCTGTTTCATCAGCGTTGAATATTTTATTGGGACCAGAGGCGGAAAGGTGGTCCAGTAGCTGAGCACTCTTTCAGTTGTTGACGGTGTCTTCACTCACGGCTCCTCTTTCGCGGCAAATGGTCTTGAAAACAAGGCAGTGTTTTTACCTAAACCGTGCATGCCATCCTTCCCACGCTCTGAATGAATTGGTGTCCATCATCGCTGCAAACTTTTCAGCTTGCGCCATAATCAGGGGTCCACCCAGCGGCAGGTTTGCATTGTGCGAGCTGACCACCGATCGAAGAAGGGCTTCTTCCAACTGTGAATGAGCTGCTGTTTGCAGCCGCTTTCATGATGTGCTGAACTTCCCACCTTTAAAAGCCTGTGGAATCTGCTCTTCATTTTTAACATATGTACTGAGAGTACTTATTTTAACATTAAGCTTCTTCTTCACTTCTTGTCAGGAGAGCCCATTTTTCAGGGCACGTGAAATTTCTACTGCAGTGTTTAAGTCTTTGGCCTTGTACTTGGGCCGCTTCGCCAGCATTGTCATCGGCTAAGAGTGTGATCACATGGGAACGCGGCACAAAAGCACCTATGACGTCCTAGCTAATGGAGCCGTATTGAATTGTTCCTGAACAAAACGGGGTTCAACTATGCAGCATGCCAATAGGAAAAAAAGCAACAAAAACAGCACCGCTAAACCTACACGTGAAGGCGTCCAATCAGTTTCAAATCAAGTCGACAATTCATGTTTTTTTATTTTATTTTATTTTCAGATTTACTGCCAGCCTTTAAAAAAGGCCTTTGGCAGGAGCGGGCAGAACAAATAAAAGAATACGAGAACATACGCAAATACGTCCACAAAACAACCGCAACAATGAGCGGGAACAAAATAAAAACAAAAAATATACAATTACGCAATCAACAAAGTGACAGCAGGTACTTTTAACAACTTGTTTGGTACCAAGCCAGACCTACACTGATAAAAACTATTAATAATATACAAGACATGACTGGACAGAGCAGGAGAAATCTGGACCGAGGTGCACCGCTAAACAAAACAGAGCTACAATGTGACACACGCAACATCAACAACAAAAAAAGAAAAAAAAAACATCAGAACAACATTATTGTTTCACAATCACATATCAGTTTGCAGAAGTCGCGATACTAGGAAAGCGGAGTGACGACCAAGATACCGAAAAAATTACAGATAATCTGACAATGCTTTAGCAAAAGAATTTAGTGTAGTACAATCAATTACATTGGATGGAAGTCGATTCCATTCACGCGTTGTCCTCGGAAAAAAGGAGTTTTTGAATGTGTCTGTTTTACAGCTAAAATCCTTTATCTTTTTCGTGTGGTGTGATCGCGTCGAGCGCTTACCAACCAGGTCGATAAAATTACTCTTGTCTATTGCCAGCTTATCATGATAAAGGGAGTACAAAAACTTGAGCCGTTCAAGCTGACGTCTCTTTTGCAATGTATCCAGCTCTGATTCTTCCAAGATTGAAGTTACAGATACTTGCCAGCGATAGCAATTATGAACAAACCTGATGCCCTTCCTTTGAACGAGTTCTAGTTTATCAATGTTGTTTTTTGTGTACGGATCCCATATAACTGATGCATATTCGAGGGAGGGCCTAATGAAAGTCTTGTAAGCCAGTAACTTTATTTCCTTGGTTGATTTTCGCATTGACCTTCGAAGGTATCCAAGTTTACGCATGGCTTTATTTGTAATATACGAAATATGTTCATTCCATCTAAGGTCCGAGGTAATAATTACGCCTAAATATTTGTACCTTTCTACAACGGAAAGAGTGTGATTATCTATGGAATATGAAAAGCTTAGGGGATGCTGTTTACGCGTTATTGACATGGCTACCGTTTTAGCCTTGTTAACACTCATTTGCCACGTTGAACACCAAGTTTGTATTTTCGCTAAAGAAGAATTCAAAAGAACTTGGTCGCAGCGGCTTTGAACTTCATGATAGAGGATGCAGTCATCTGCGAATAGTCTAATTTTTACTGGTATATCCTGTACTATGTCATTAATGAACACAAGAAAGAAAAGTGGCCCAAGCACCGAACCTTGAGGTATACCGGATATAACTGTCTCTGCTGGAGAGCACGTACCGTCAATTGTTACACATTGTCGTCTTAAATTTAAGTAATTTTTTATCCATGACAGAAGTGTATCGTTCTTCAGTATGGGTTGAAGTTTTAAGAGCAGCTTTTGGTGCGACACGCGATCGTACGCTTTTTCAAAATCTAGAAAAATAATATCTGTTTGACCTTGCCTGCCATGTTCATGGCGGTGCTGCGTTTGATCTTCACTTTTATTTCAATATGTTCTTTTTTCGTCTTCGAGCCTCGCCAGCGGCCCAAAAGTCGCCAAATTATCCGATTTGCTGTCGAATCTGTCCGAAATCATGAGTGCCCTGTGGCATAGAGTGATCCATATATTCGCAGGGATTAGCTAGCGTGTCCGGATTATCCAGATTTCCAAATTATCGACAGTCAAAGTAACGAGCTTTTACTGTATAACAAAGTTGCATCTTTCCCAAATATAAGTTTGTTACATCTGAAAATTTTTTGCAAAAGTATATTCTTAACCCTATCTCTATTGCAAGACTATTTTTAATTTTTTTCATTATAACCGTTATGTGGTTTTATCAGAATTTTTATATCGAAGCCTATGTGTATTAGTAGATGGTGAAATTTAGTTCATGGATAAAAAAGGCTCATTTCAAATGAACACGCAGAAAGAAAAATTATTACTGCAGTGCCAACTAGCAGTTGGCAAACATGAAGTGCTTGATTGGCAAAAGGTTCTAGTTGTACTCAGATGCTTTCATTGTAGAGAGGGAGTGCCTCCTCGGTCTGGGCCAAAGAAGTACAGAAGTTCCCGTGGCTGCTCTGCAATGCTTTTTTCGAGGCGCACCTTTATTAGCAGTTTAAAGGGCAATATCGCACTGCCCAGTGAGCTCTTGTTAGAATGTGATGGTAAAAACAGCGTGAGCGTGTAAAGCATGGGATGAGAAAGGAACACGCATGAAGACACAAACGCTCATTATCAAGCCTTCATTTTCTGCGTTTGCCACATATTTATGCGTCATGAAACGCGGAAAATAAAAAGTTGATAGCGCTCGGGTCATATGTGTTCTTTTCTCATGTCCTTCACTCTTGTTAGAAGTCATTTTCAGGTGTGACAGTGAAGAAAAGAAAAAAAAAAAAGCCCCAATGTATAAGATGCAATATTCTTACATTTGCTATGATTCAGTGGCTCTGTCTGCTCTACTTTTTAGATATTTTGTTGGTCACCCCTTGATGCGTAGATTCCGAGTCAGTGGCCATGCTAGCGTTTTATGAAAGATGGCCAACTGGCAGAAAAGGTGAAGAAACGGCAATGTACTTGAATTTAGTAGTCACAGGCTCTTTAATTGAATGACTAATTAGAAATGTCTATGGAGTGTTGGGAGCTTGCATTTCAGACGGTGAGTAGCTCTCAGGCCAGATGGTACTGTCACTCTCGCAGCCGATTCTTCATTAACTGTTATTAACAGTGAAATGCTTTCGAAAATAATTTCATGTATCTTAGAAGTATGAGTTAATGTAGGTTAGCAGTAGATTTATTTGGGGATTTTGTAGGAAAATGATTTAACATTGCAGTTGACCAGAGGTTATTATTATTCTATAATTGCCATTGGACGATCATGTTGATATCATTCAGTGTGTATCAGTGCAGTATTATGTGTCATGTTCTTATTTCACAAAGTTTGAAACCTTATCTGAGGTATGTGTGCCGTGTTATTTTTCCTGGCGATCGAATCCACTGGTGGCATCTGAGCTTGTGCTTATTTGTGGCTTTCAATGTTTTCATTTGTTTTCCAGAGAACGTTTGCGTTGAAGCAGTCCCTCGGCATCATCGGTGGCAAGCCGAACCATGCACTTTACATCATTGGTGTTGTAGGTGAGCATGGTAGTCGCAGTTGTGTGTTTTGCTTAAGGCTTTATGACAGGCTTAGGCATTGTGAGAGAACGTGTAGTATGTATATCGCTTGGCAATGATTATGTCTGAAAAAGTTTAAAACATCTGCGTGTTGAAAAAACAGTATAAAATCTTGGAGAATTCTGTGCCTTGACAGAATAGTGAAGGTCGCATGCCACGATTAGGTCACTGACCACAGTCCAATTCATTGAGGAATACGCAGTGCTGTCACTGGTGATGCTGCATGAAGCGCAATAGAAAGAAGAAATAGGAGAGGCTTGCGACATCTTGAAATGTGACACAGTCTCTCTCAGTAGTAGCGTATGAAAGAGTGCAAGCAAGGTAAACAATTCGCCCGTTTTAATTGAAGATCATAGGCTAGTTCAGGGGCTCTCGAGATTCCTGCCTCAGGGAACCTTTATGGCTTTTCCTGAGTGCCGCATGACCTATAACTAGGCTTGTGCGAATAGTGAATTTTAGGTTTCGAAGCGAATAGTGATTTTAGTTGAATAATCTTGAATCGAATTTCGATGGTGTATATATATATATTTAGCACATTATAAAGGAAAAGGGGCATATTTTTCGTGACCAAACTATCCTGCACGATATTTTTTTAAAATTGAAAGAAGGCCTGTGCAAAAGTCATTTTTTTTTTTTATCAAAGGAAGTGGCAACGACCTTTGATAAAAATAACACAGAATTAAGACAAGTAACAGAATTTGACTTTCGGAAGAACGCAAGTGATAGCCAGTAAAATATACTGCGTTTTAAAATTTGCTATACTTAGAGCATACAAGTTGGTGTAATGAGATTTTAAACTGAATATAAAATGAACAAAAAGACAATCGACGTGAGTGTAATTCTTCATTAAAACTTTGAATTGGGGCTTTGCTGCAGTGCAGATTTCTCATGACTACGTGTTTTGACTGCTTAGCATGACTTTACTGCAGTGAAACCACTTTTACATGCGAACTAATACGCTTGGATAAGTGCTTTTGTGGCTTAGCTTCCTTTCACTGCAGTGAAACCATCTATACAGAGTGTTTTATGCAGACTAATATTCACCTACTCGTTTGTTGCAAATTATTTGAAATTATCGACACTTTAAATTTAATTCAAAGAAAATTTGAATACTGCATTGTTCATTCAAATATTCAAAGAATTCAAATATTCGCACAAGTTTACCTGTAACCTATTCTTTAGCACAACAATCGGAAGTGGTGGACGGAGAAGTTGGGAAGGTAGGTTATGACACTTCTCAGTCAGCAAAACCACAGCGTAAACACTAACAGATTGACCTATTACATTTAATATCAAAGGCCTAGGAATACAACAGCTACGCCAATTGCGCGATTTTGATACTATTCTTCATTTTTCTGCCTAGCTGTGCCAAAATCATGAAGTCTGCCGAAATTGTGCCATGCTGAGCCTAAATGCCCGTACGCTAATTTCAGCATGAAATGAAGGCCACTTTGGCCACCTGTAGTTTGTGTCCTCAATCGATCCAGGGATATAGACGTGCCGACCCTTACCCTTTAAACCTTGACAGCACATTCGTGAAACGCGATCGACCTGATACAGTAACAACGCCGCGTGGCCGTCGGTCCACTGACCGCAGCGGATAAAGAACTAAAGCTGGAAGCATATACCGCTGTTAGTGCACGTGAGCACCACGTGCTGCGAACATTGGCGTTGCCGGCTGCCACTTTTAGTTCCATAGCAACGGCGCATATCATAAATAAACGGAGATGTCGCCGGGCCAATGAGCACGTGCTTGTGCTACTTTATCTAGTCAAACGTGCCTTGCAAGCGTGTTTGACTAAACATTTGAAAAAAAGGAGGGGTGAGTGGGTGTTGTAGCGGCTCGAAAATTTTTCGGCCTTAACCCAAAAATTTCTCAAACCGTGCAGAACGCCACTTAAGCCACCTTTGCCGCAGCACACGGGTGACCTGCGGGAAAGCGTTTTAAGATTTGAAACGAGTTGTTAGCATTTGCCACAGACACTGTACAGTTTGTTCAATTACTCATGCGTGTATATGCAGCATAATTATGAACACTAGTATGGTCGCTGATGTCTAAAAAAGTTACTAGCAATTGTTTGAAGCACTGAACAACATTTGCGCAGCCCTAAAAAAAATCAAACCAAACTGTGCGCCAGTTTTTTTCGCACCCCTAACACATTTGAATACTCAGAGTCTGTCAAAGATTTTGACCGGAATTTTAAGTGCTAATGTGGACTTTATCATTGTTTGCCGAGTTAGGTGTTTCAAAATAGTTTTATTGAAATAGCAGTGCTTATATTCCCTCTGCACGATTTAGAGGATGTTAAATGGTTTGTACATATCTTTTTTTCTAAACTTAAGCCTTTTGTTTGATACAATTAAACCTCGTTATAACGAAATGGGCTATAACGAAATAATGTATATAACGAACAAATTCTAATTCCCCTTGAAAGTCCCCATACAAACCAATGTATTCAAAACCTTGTTTTAACGAGGCAAAATTTGCCTGTTATGGGATATAACCAACAAATTTTGTTAGGAAGTAAAATTTTTAGCCGATGTCACTACAGTGCACAACGTGAATTCGAGACGGCGCTCAACGCGAGAATTTAGTAGTTCAAAACTCCCGCCACGCGCCCTCTAGCAACGCGCGCAAAGCAGACGGCACGCGCTGTTTCCGGAAAAGAGGTCGCTGCACGTGTGCCGCATGGCTACCACCGACAGGGGAGCGCTCCGCAGCTCTGCGAACGTCTCGCCCTTTTCTTTTCTTTTGTGTCTTCTTTACATTCTCCCTCTCCCCTTTCTCATGGCGCTGAGGCGCGCTTCCCAATCTTACGTACCCCCTTCCCCTTCAGTAACCGGTTCCTAGAGGGCAGCGCAAAAGAGCGCCCCTTCTGCCCCTTCCTCTTCACAGTCACTTTCTCTGCAAGTGTTGTCGCCCGCCGACGTGAGCCGCGTTGCTTTTGCGTGCGTGTTTCTTCTCTTTTTTGACTGCTTCCGCCTTATCTTTTATCGTGCTGCGCTCGTGATTCCAGCAACATGAATGCGCCAGGCGGGAAGCGAAAGCGCATAACGCTAGATCAGAAGGCGGCTATGATAAGAGCCGTCGAATCGGGGACCAAGAAAGGCAACGTGGCAAGATACTTTGGCGTATCGACGAGCACACTGTCAACCATCTTGAGCAAGCAGGAGTCCATCATCGACGCTGTTGCACGTGGCGTGAAAGGAAGCGCTAAGAGGATGAGGGCACCTGCCTTTGAAGCGGTCGAAAGGGCCGTTTTTAAATGGTTCTTGGACACGCAAGCCGTGAATCTGCCGGTGAGCGGCGCCTTGCTGCAAAGAAAAGCGAGAGACTTTCCCTGCATCATGGGCTATGACAACTTCGTAGCAAGTTCGGGTTGGCTTCAATGCTTCAAGGAGCACCACGACATTGTCGGGAGAGCGGTCTGCGGCGAATCGAAATCTGTCGACGAAGCAGAGGCTACCAAGTGGGTGAAAGAAAACATCGGGCGGCTGCTAGAAAAATACAGCGCGGAGGATATTTTTAACGCGGACGAAACCGCTCTCTTTTTCAAGATGTTGCCGCACAAGACGTTAGCCCTCAAAGGCGAGCCGTGCCATGGCGGCAAACAAAGTAAGCTGTGGATCACTGCGCTACTTTGTGCAAACATGACTGGCTCTGAGAAGCTGCCAATTTTCGTAATTGGCAAAAGTGCATCCTCTCGCTGCTTTTTCCTGGGGAAGAGGCAGCTCCCAGTCAAGTACGTAGGCAATCGCAAAGCCTGGATGACCAGGGAGATTTTTTCAAAATGGCTTTGCGGATGGGACGAGAAGCTAGCAAAGGCGAACCGCAAGGTGTGCCTTGTTTTAGATAACTGCACCGCCCACCATACTGCTGCCGTGCTTCAAAACATCGAGCTGCTGTTCCTTCCTGTCAACTGCATAGCAAAAATACAGCCGCTTGACCAAGGCGTGATTATGTCGCTGAAAGCAGGTTACCGCAAGCGTGTGATAGACAAGCTCCTGCTCAACATGAGGATGAAGCGAGACACCGATGTTGACTTGTATGCTGCGCTCGAAATGCTTCAGGCGGCGTGGATGAGTGTGACGGCGACCACGATCGCAAAGTGCTTTCGACACGCCTAATTTGCCGCCTTACCAGACGCCAGCGATGAGCCATCAGACGAGCCTACTGTGCCGGACGGTTTTGCCACATCAGACGAAGTCGCTGCATTATAGACGACACTTCGTGACGCCGGTGTCGTGCCTGACAGCGAGTCGTTTTGCGACTATGTGAGTGCGGACTCTGAAGTGGTGGCAACGGAGCAGCTCCTGGATGACGATACTGTGCGCGCTGTCAGTGATCGTAACGAAACCAGTGACGATGACTCTGTCGACGAACAGGAGACAAACGTGCCGACGGCGTGGGAGGCATTAGACGCGGTGGACGTACTGTGTCGCTACTTCGGCGCTCACGAGGACGGCGAAGATGGCTTGAACGTTGCGGCCCCAGCTGAGGGAGCCATCGTTCGCATCAGGAAGTTGCATCAACGTTCAATTACGGACTTCTTTGCAGCTAAGTCTGCCTGAAATGCAAGCTGTGTATTTTGAAGTGCATTAAAACAGGTGCATGACTTTTTTCCTTTTTATTTGGGAATGCGGTTATTTTGTTGTATACCACCGTGCGGCGGGATGCTATTTCGCCCGCTATTTTTTTGGGGGGTAAGTACAGTGCATAATATTTGCGGTAAATGCCCGCTACGGCTATAACGAAATATTGGTTATAACGAGCAAATAGCGGCGGCCCTCCAATTTCGTTATAACGAGGTTTAACTGTACTGCTCCAAAGTTGGTTTTTTGTGATGAAAAATTCAATTTTTTCTCCTATAACTTGCTCCGAATTTGGATTTCAGCGCTCCAAAAGTCACAGTCTGCAGGGCCAAAAATTGCTCTAAATTCTATTTTGGCTGTCGCACCCC